ACACAACCCACTACAGATACAAGGCTAGGGCAATAGGGCCAGCTACAGGCAGACTGGACGGCGCACACCGGCACCAGGTGACCCGAGAAGCGCCCCAAGATTGAGGATGTGGGCAGAGCACAGGTGAAGCTATATTCAGAGGGACACACTGGCAGTAATGGACCTTCATGTTGTAGCAGGCACTCCAAGCCTTAGTGGATGAACAGAACTCATAGTGGCCCCAACAATGAGACAGGTTGGTGCACCTATGTTCAGGGGGCCACACTGGCACGTTTACCTTCTCTGCTCAACTTATAACCCGGACCCTTTGAATGTAAGCAGAGTACTGCGTGCCGCTATGGGATGGGGGCGGCCTATGGCACTGGGGGATCTTCCCTGCTTCCAAGCCTTGGAGTGTGAGGAGAGCTTAAAAAGGGGCCCCAACATGGTTGGACTGGAACCCATCTATGTGGGCACCAATACCGGCAGCCCAAATAGGTGCAGCTATATACAGAGGGGCACACTGGCAGTAAGTGACCTCTGATCTAGGAAGTGGTTTTAGAATACAAGTAGAACTTACAAGGGCCACACCATGGAGAGAGCACACAGAGGTGCAGCTATATTCAGAGGGGCACACTGGTACTAGATCTAGGTGGCACTCCAAGCTGTAAGGTGTGAGGAGACCTTACATGGGCCCCAACAGGGAGATGGCACACACAGGTGCAGCTATATTCAGAGGGGCACACTGGTACTAGCTGATCTCTGACCTAGAAGGCCCTCCAAACCATAGAAATTGACCAAACCTTACAGGGGCCCCAACATGGAGAGCACATACAAAGGGTGCAGATATATTCAGAGGGGCACACGGGTACTAGATCTCTTATCTAGGAGACCCTCCAAGCTGTAGGGTGTGAGGAGACCTTACAGGGGCCCCAACATGCAGATGGCACACACAGGTGCAGCTATATTCAGAGGGGCACACTGCTACTAGATCTCCTAGGGGGCACTTCAAGCTGTAGGGTGTAAGGGAGACCTTACAGGGGCCCCAACATGCAGATGGCACACACAGGTGCAGCTATATTCAGAGGGGCACACTGCTACTAGATCTCCTAGGGGGCACTTCAAGCTGTAGGGTGTAAGGGAGACCTTACAGGGGCCCCGGCATGCAGATGGCACACAAAGGTGAAGCTATATTCAGAGGGGCACACTGGAACTAACTGATCTCTGACCTAGGAAGCCCCCCAAACCATAGAGTGAGATCAGACCTGACAGGGGCCCCTCCAGGGAGAGTGCACATAGCGGTGCTGTTGTATACAGGTAGGTGCACGTGCTCCTGAAATGTGGCCCTCAGCCTGCAGTCCGGATACAGGGGTGGCTCCTGGCCTCCCCCAGCTAAGGGGAACACACGTGCTGCAGGGAATGTGGCCCCAGACAGTGACAGGGGCCCCAGCACGGAAGGGAGTTCTGGATAGCGTAAGGGAGTCCCCTGCCCTTCCCCCACGCAGGCCTTGTGACAACCCGACCCCCGCAGGCTGCGCTGTCGGGCCGTGTGGCCACTAACACGAGGAGGGCCCCCTCACCTTCCTTCTTGAGAGCCACGGGTGGCGCGGCCTCCTCCTTCTTCTCGGGCAGGGGGTTCCTGCGGTCCTTCTGCGACTCCTTCTTAGGCTGCTTTGCGGCCTGGGCGGCGGTCTTGGCCTGAGCTCCCCCCGCCTCCTTCTTCTTGTTCTCAGCCGCCTTCAGCACCTCGAACGGGTCCGACTCATCGTCGAATAGCTGGTCGAAACGGTTGGTAACGACGCAGCCGAAGCCTTCCTGCAGATGCCCGGGCATTGTGGCCCCTGTCCTGTCGGATGTCCTCAGATTTGGCGAGGGCCCGGAGCGCGCAGCTCGCTTGAAAGATGGCCGGGAAAGAGGTTGTCTTCTCTTCCGGCGCCAGGGACATCCGGGACATAGGCGCGCGGGGGGTGACGGGAGTTGTAGGCGGGGGCAGGGAGAGCCGAGCGGCCTCTGGCGGTGGCCTGAACTACAATTCCCGGCATGCACCGCGGCAGCATTGTGCTGTGTGTGTTGTGCTGCCTGTCAGTGACATGAGGTAGAGCAGAGGAAGAAACACATGGGGGTGGGGGGAAAGCCAAGGCAGCCAGAACCCCCTCCCCTCACCAATAAATAGATTTACCTCTGCTTATGACATTACGTGACAGGCACAAGTGGAGATGGGACAAGGTCAAAATGGCAGTGCTGATGCCAACATGTCAGCAGCAAAGCATAACTCCCTGTGTGCACAAGCCCTGCAAATGCCCACACGGTGCAGATTACCTGCAGAAAGGGCTCATTTTGCGTTTTCCCAGAACGCATGAAGGGCCGTCACCTGCCCCATATTCTACTGGCACGGCCTGTAAAAATGGGACTTGTTGCCAAGGTTATTAATAGAGAAGAGATCATACAAACGCCATTTCCTTCCAGACAAGGTAACAACCCTGTAACTTGACTTTCTGGTCTGGTGTAGGCCCGAAGAGTATGGTGGGGCAGCGAGCATCGGACACGTGTATCACACATGAAATGAGCACATTTCAGGGGCCGCAGACATGCTACAGGCGACGGTCAGGGGCCGCAGACATGCTACCGGCGACGGTCAGGGGCCGCAGACATGCTACATTGCTACAGGCGACGGTCAGGGGCCGCAGACTTGCTACAGGCGACGGTCAGGGGCCGCAGACTTGCTACAGGCGACGGTCAGGGGCCGCAGACTTGCTACAGGCGACGCCTGTATGATACAAAAAAAGAACAAAATCTGTAATAAATAACCAAAACAAACATCAAAACAGTCAGAGCCCCCCCAATTCTGCTGATTATAAGAACACCAACCCATTAAAATATGCTCAAAACACCTGGGGACTGTCTCATTTTCAAATCTTACCTGAGCAAACAGAGCAAGCCTGATCAAAAGAGAGAAGCTGATGGGTTGCCATAGGTAACTGCTCCACATTCTGTCTGCTCCAGTTTTGAGAAATTCCCCCCATGTGGTATCTGGCAGTCCAGGCAATACATCTTGGGGAACGGGACACCCCACATTCCCTGTTGTACACCTCAAAAATGTCACTGTATGAGTAGGTTAACATATGAATCCTCCGGTCAGTATCCAAATAGGAGGATTATACAGTGGTACCTCGGTCACGAACATAAAGGGGTTCTAAACCCTCCGGGTTTTTTTTGCCTATATCTACTGCTATCAAGCAGTAGATATAGGCAAAACGTTTTGTTTTTTTTAAAAACACTTTAACAGGGGTTTAAACTTACCTTGTTTTCGCTGCGCGCTCCCGTCCGCGAAAACGAAACTGCTCGGGCGGCCGCAAATCATCTTGGGGCGGGGGCATGCGCAGTTTGGATTCTCGGCAGAGACGCAAGGTAAGTCTATGGACACGTGCACCCGTATGCAAGCAGAGAGAAGTCAGCGCTGGATCGGAGAGCCGCCGCACCGCTGGAGGGACAGATGAAAACATCAGGAAAGAAGAAGAAGATCGGATTAAGAGACATCATTTGGTAAGTGCTGACATTAACATTGGGGGGAGGGGGGAAAAAAATGATACTTTAGGCCCCGTTCACACTGAGCGATTTATCGCGCAGTAATTCCCGCGATATTGCGGCTATTTACCGCGCGATATCGCTCTCCAATGCTTGGCAATGGGGCAAAGGGTCCTGCTGTCGCGGGTCGTGCATCGCTACAGCAGGACCCTTTTTTGAGTGGATTTTCCCGCGATTCTAGCTTGCTCAATGCGCAAGCATTTGCGCGATATCGTGCAAAATGCAAATCGCGCGATTTGCGAATCGCGCAGTGTGAAATGGGGCCTGAATGTCTTTTAGGCCCCATTCACACTGCGCGGTTTGCAAATCGCGCGATTTGCATTTTGCGCGATTTGTCGCGCAAATGCTTGCAGTGCATAGAATAGAATCGCGGCAAAATCCGCTACAAAAAGGTTCCTGCTGTAGCGACACACGACCCGCGACAGCAGGACCCTTTGCCCCATTGAGATGCATTGAATCGCGATAAATCGCTCAATGTGAACGGGGCCTAATTCGTTCCACAATTCTGGTCGCGAACCAAATTGGTTGCGAACCGAATCAAACTGTGATCAGACCGCGATCTCGACTAGAGGAAGCCACAACCATGTGCCAGAGCAGGGAAGATGGCTGTGGTTGTGTTCGTCGCCCGATGCGGAGTTTGCAAATGGAAGCGACATTTTGCCAAACTTCCTGTTCGCGAACCGAATTGTTCACTAACAGAAGCGTTCGTGAACCGAGGTAGCGCTGTATAAGCAGTGACACTCTCACCCGGGTTCCAATATTGAGTCGCTCAGGGAAAGCACTTTGCAGGTTTCCAGGAATGTGTACAGTTCCAGCCATTCTTGTAGTAAATCACCAGATGATGCACGTAGGCTAACAAATGGCCACAGCCATCCAACTCACAGATTGCAGTCAGGTCTTGGAAAAGCATCGCAGATCACCGCACAGGCATGAGCCACCTAACATGTTTCGCTCCCCACAGGAGTCTTGTCAAAGGTTTGTGGCTGTGTTGAAAAATGATACACAGATACAGCTTTCACCGCTCGCATTATATGAATATGCAAAGAACAGATTTGTCTCTTTGGATAGAAGCATCGGATATAGATTACGGATACACATGAAAATATTCATAGGATTTCCCCATGATACAATGTATCCTGCACAGGCTGACTCCCCCCCCAGGTGTTTTGGGCAGATTTTAATGGGTTGATGTTTTTATATACAGCAGAATTGGGGGGTTTTCTGACTGTTTGGATGTTTGTGTTGGTTATTTACTATAGATTTTGTTATATTTTTGTATCATAATATAATGATTATAAGTCTTTAATTGTGGTTGGGTATATAAATACCATATAATAGATAATATAGTGCGGGCTGAGTTGTGCCAATGTGGCCTGAGGCGTGCCCATGGCCACGCTGTTAGGTACGCCTAAAAGGGGGCATACCAAATGAAAAAGTGATGGAATTTTACATTATAACGGGGATGTGTGGGTGGGGACAACCGCTTTCCCTACAATGTCAGGCAGGAAAGAGGAGGAGTTTATATAGCCATAATCCCCTCCCACAAATACAGGTTAATAAATTAAAGGAGAACTATGGGTTCAGGGCTTTTCCCCATAGTTCTCCTTAGGGTAACGGGAGGACACAAACTAGCGTCACATACTTGTGGTCGGGTATATAAATGCCGTATAATAGATAATATAGTGTGGGCTGAGTTGTGCCAATTAGTGATGGGCTCGGGCATGTTCGCAGCTCCGCATGCCGAGGCCACCAGGAAGCGGACAGCGCGCAGCGCCAATCACAGGTACTGAGACATTTCCCGATCTCTGCAGCTGCGGACCGGGAACATGTCTCAGTACCTGTGATTGGCGCTGCGCGCTGTCGGCTTCCTGGCGGGCTCGGCACGTGGAGCTGCGAACACGCCCGAGCCCATCGTTAGTGCCAATAAGCTAATGTGGCCTGAGGTGTCCCCCGTAGCCACTCTCTTAGGTACGCCTAAAAGGGGGCAAAAATATACAGATGGATTACTATACAACACAGGTAATTTGAGTAACATAGCGATGAATACAGAATGAGTCATATTACAAAGCGAAGTCGACCAGATATTTAATCATCCTACTTAAAGGGCTCCAATCCTTTTTTTTGTTTTGTTACAGACATGATCCACTGTTGTCACCACCAGGCACTTTGAAGGCAGCCATTTTGTTAGCAAGGCCAATGTTCTCCAAAATGTGGCCCACACACAGCCATCTGTGGAATTCAGTTCAGTGGAAGAGATGTGTGCTGCACACTTTCAGGTCCACCTGATCATGTCTGTAAAGGAAGTTCATGAAAGTGACAGCTTAGAACAAGTGGCCACTGTAAATTTAGAGAAAAGCAGCTGGGCCTGGTGGGATCTGACAGCTTACAGCAGCTGGATAAACAATGGGGTGAAGAGGACATTTGATGGTCACTGGGACTAAAAGTGAGAGAAAATCCAACTTTTTGAGTTGTCATAGAATCGGGATTAAAAGGGAAATATTTCAGTGGTGTCACGAAGTAGACCTTTTTCTTGACTTTTTCGAACCATGGGACTGTAGACCCTTTCCTCAACTTTCATGAACCATGGTGTAGACCCTTCCCTTGACGGTCATGAACCAGGATAGTAGACCCTTACCTTTGCCTGGCTGTCATAAAATGTGGGTGTAGACCCTTTCCTCGACTGTCATGAACCATAGACCCTTTCCGCTATGTCAGGAACTGTGGGTGCAGACCCTTTCCTCCCCTGTCATGGACTGTGAATGTAGACCCTTTTCTTCAACTGTCATGAACCTGTCACGACACAGAGAAGTAGACCTTTTCTTCAACTGTCATGAACCGTGGGTGTAGACCCTTTCCGCTATGTCACCAACTGTGAGTGTAGACCCTTTTCTTGACTGTCATGAACCAGGGAAGTAGACCCTCACTTCCCCTGTCACAAACCGTGGGTGTAGGCCCTTCCCATGACTGTCACAAACCATGGGTGTAGACCTTTTCCTCAACTGTCATGAACCCTGGGTGTGAGCTTGTAAAAAATAAATCAAGACAACTGGACTTGCTGTATGTTTCATCTGACCAGCTTTCTCAATTCAGAATGACTTGTTCAAAAATTCTCTGGGAGTAAATATTCCCAGTTTCCCTGAATTGGGAAAGCTAGTTGTATGACCAGTGAAACATCTTCATGCAAAATACATCAAGTCCAGTTGCCTTGATTTATTTTTTACAGATATACCATGACCTGGATGTAGGAGAACCTTCACATACACACTTGGGTGTAAGGCTCTTCCTCCACTGTCAAGAGCCATGGGTGTAGACCGTTCCCTCAGTACTACCGCTTTTTCTGAGAGTAGTGCCTTAGGGAT